CTTGGCGTGGATTAATTTGGATAATTTTTGATATGATTCCGGAGATATTCTCGATGAGATCTTCATTATGGTTTGAAGCAAGCGCATTCGCGGACTACTTAAGACGAGTGTGATGATTGCTAAACAACCGATTGATATAACAAAGCAGCTATTCGCAATAGACCTTGTTATAGTTTCAAAGTTGATCTTTGTAAAAATGAAGGAATTGTATAAGATTATCAGTTGGAAAACGGACAAAACACAGGTGATGGCGATTGATAAGATGTAATGTGGTTTTGAAGCCTCGAAGATTGATTTGTTCATTTTATACGGGAATATTCCAAGAATACGACAAAAAGTGAAGCAAGGACACATCAAAGCTTGAAAATCCGTAGCGTGGAAAAGCTGCCATTTTATTTGCATTTTTTCTGTGCTTTGGTTCTGAAATTTTAACGACGAACTGAATATTATCAGCGAAATGTTATGTGTGCATAATAATAATCTAAGTTATATAAATATCAACCTAAAAATTATTTACCACGTTATTAACGCACTTCGATTAACGCGATCAATGCGAGTGTGATGATGGTATTCGTTTTTTTAAATTTAGTTCATAAGAAGTATATTTTTTCACTACAAAGTGTCACTCGAAGTAAATTCCTTCTTTTTTATATATTGTATATCAGACAAGTTCTAGTTTAATACTACTAGCATTTACTGCGACGAAGACTGAGGCATGATGGTATGTTAGTCACGAAGTAACCATGGAGCGTATTACTTCGATCTGTCATCTGAAAAAGGCAGTGTTTAATGTAATAGTTGCTGTTATACGCTGATCATGTGTTTAATTACTCGAAAACATTGACTAAACAATATACATTAATGATTCTTAAAAATTGGTTAATAACAATTTTCTAATTCACTGTACTAAATATTTTTATTATGCATGTAGGATATTTGAGAAACCTGTCGTTTTTATCACGATTTCGATATTTAATATTCTTTGTTTTAAATGTTTCAAAACACGCTAGCATGTATGTATGCATGTTTCAGTAAGCTTCAATAATAAAAATATTCAATGTATTTGTTAAATTTAATCATTAGCACTTTTTTAACTTATTTTAGATTAAATTGTATTTGCAAAATGTTTACACCTATATAATTATATTAAGATACAATAATAAACTAGATAATTAGATATTCTTAAGTTTTAAATAATATTTTAAACTGTAACATACTATTAAATTGTGCTGTGCGTATTTTGAGAAACACTGGTTTCATTATGGTAAAAGATAAGAATATAATTTAATGCTAATGAATTGAGTTATACAGTAATGTAATAGCAAGCTGTTATCTTGATTAGAATTGATCTAACTATTTAGATTCGAACAAATTGATATATTTCCTTAGCTGATGAAATTATCAGATATATATTTATGAACAAAAACTTATATTGTAATGGACATAATCAATGAAATTTACAAGACAATCATATTTTAAATATACAAAACGTAAAAATTATTAATCAATGCACTTTGTCATCAATGTGAGAATGATTGTAGATGCTTCTTCTGTAAGTGCAATTTCGAAATTTGGCTTAATGGCATAATTCCTCTTTTTTAATCTACACTTGACAAGTGCAATTTGAAAACTGTAAGCAATTACTGAATCAAGTAGCGACGAAGAGAACATATTAGATGTCAAGTAACCATGGTGCTGTTCAATCTATATGTGTGTGTGTGTGTGTTTGCGTGCGAATAATTGTTTATAAATATAAAAACATTGTTTCTTTTCGATTACCTACATCTTTTTTTATAGAATTACATTATTCATGTAATATTGATTACAGATTTTCCATCGCAAGAATGTGATATAACAAGGAATTGAGCCGATATTAACATATATGTGGTAATGGTACCAACCATCTGAAATCAAAATGAACGAAATAAGAAAGATACATTTTATTATTTAAAGTAAACGATTTGATTACTTACTATTGCAAGAAATGTTGCATCTACATTGAAACCTTTGGCGGAAAACATAATTTTGCAATGCAGTGTTTGTCAGGAAAATAACTGCAACTATAATATTAATCGCAAAATTATTAAATACAGGATCGGAAGACGTAACTTATCTGAAGTAGTAGATTCAACCCCAGTGTCGTATAGATTATGCGACATGATAATGATGTCGTTTAAAATGATATAGCACAGAACACGTTAGTACATAAAAACTGTATTGGCATACAACATATTACAAGAAAAATATACAAATTAAATAACATTTTTACTACCTCATACTTTATTTTCTCGTCTCTGGTGCTGTTAAGTACATGGTGAATCGTAGTGCGAATCTCTTGAGCCTGATTCTTGCATGTCTCGCATGCCCACACAATTAACGCCGTTTTTATGATATAATATAATATGTATAATAAGTATATATCACCAACTTGTTTATCCAAATTGAAGACCAATTCACTATGCCATTGAACTAGATATAAATACGTGTTAAGACTGACGTCATAAAAGATTATGATTATCGAGACAAGGAGTTGCACACTCAAAGACATATTTAGCATCTGTACTGCGTTGCTGATTGCCATATGCTTCTTCATTAGATTCTTAAGCTTTATTATCAGAAATGGATTTCTCTTCTCGTAAATCATCGTGAGAACACGTGGTTTATTATTTACTATGAGCGTATGTAAAAGATTGTTGTCAATTTCCTTGACACAAGTCTTTAACACACAAACGCAATTCATGTACAGCATGTCCGTATGAAATATGAATAGATTTATATATATTATAGACATTGTGGGCAAAACATCAAGGCGTTCCTTGTAGGAATACATAAAAAGCATTCCAATTATATAAAAGGAACCAAAGATGTCTTTGGCGTGGATTAATCCGGACAATTTCTGATATGATTCCGGAGATAGTTTCGAAGAGATCTCCATTATGATCTGAAGCAAGCGCATTCGCGGCTTACTAAAGATGAGCGTGGCGATTCCTAGTGTACTGAGCAATATAAAATCGCAGGTAAGCGAAAGTAACTTGATTGTATTTTCAAAGTTGATTTTTGTAAAAATCTGAAGCTGATAACAAACTATCAAATGGGAAACGCATGAAACACAGATAGTTGCAGTTGATAAAATATAACGTGGTTTTGATGCCTCGAAGATCATATTGTTAATCTTATACGGGAATATTCCAAGAATGCGGCAAAACATGAAGCAAGGATACATCAAAGTTTGAAAATCCGTAGCGTGAAAAAACCATCCTTTTTTTCGCATTTTGCCTTTTATTCGTTTCTAAAATTGCAACGACATAATGAATATGCTTAGCGAAATGCGTGGGTGAATAATAATCTAAATTATATAAATATCAGCCTAAAAATTATCAATACACTTCAATGATCACCGATAACGTGTATGCAAGATTTTTTTAAGTCTAGTTCCTTAGTTTAATTTTCCATTATACAAAGCGTCAAAACAAATTCTTTTGTTTTTATCTACATCAGACAAAATCCACTTTAATACTACGAGCATTTATTGCGAAGAAGACGCAGGCATTACATGATCGTATGTTAGTTATGAAGTTACCATAGTACTCTACGATCTATCATTTACAAACTGCAATTTTTAACAATATAACAGTTGCTGTGTAATGTTTTAACAATTCATTTAATTACTTGAAATAGGATTACAACTACACAGTACCTAAATATTAGTGAGCCTAAAAATCGAATATTAATATTAACATGCTTGATTCAATATTGCCGAGTGATGAATGCATAATTTCTTTTTTTCAATATACTTAACAAGTTTAACTTGAAAATTGCGAACAATTACTGAATTAAGTAGCGAGAAATTCCTTAGAGATCACATGTTAGATGTGAAGTAACCATGGTGCTGTTCGATATATATTTGTTACTTGCGAAATGAAGTGCATAAAATAAATTATGTCTTAATACCATTATATACTGATCATATCAAATCATTTAGATGCTTCAAATAGAAGCATCAATTGTACAACACGAACTAATGATAACGTAAAGATGATGACGTAAAGATAAATTAATAATAATTCTAATTTGATTGCACATTTTTATTTGATCGTACGTCAGTTTCCGTAACATATGCATCTACTTTGCTAATTTGCGATTAAAATTTTGTTATATTAATACGACACCCGAGATAAGTTATATCGAATAAATTCGATTATTTTCAAATTTATCAATTCTTTTATTAATTTCACAGAATTATAAATCCTTTTTCAGAATTAAAGTATAAATAATAACGAAATGCGATGGCAATAATTTCTTATAAAAAAACGATAACATTGATTATATTCAAAAATTGGAATTAATGGCACATTTAAGAGAATGGTTACAATATTAAATTGCTTTATATATTTGAAATATTGGATGAGTCAGAAGCTATATTTTGTTAGAAATTTATTCCATCTTACATTTTCAATACATTTAAATACGTAAAATATTCAAGATTAATTTACAATTTTATGTTAATATTTTTCTTATGTTAATTATTAATTATTAATGTTAATATTTATTATTGATATTTGTGTGTTTAATACATGCAAAGAAAATTTAATTTTTATGTACAAGTATGTAGGTATACACGTGTACAAATAAATAATTTGCTTATAAATAAATATAAGAAAAAATTGTTTCTTTTTGATTATCTTTTTTTTTAAATTACATCATTCATGTAACGTTGATTGCAGATTTTTCATCGCAAGAATGTGACATAACTAGGAATTGTACCGATATTAATATATATGTGACAGTGGTACCCACCATCTGGAAACAAAATAAAATAAGAAAGATACATTTTGTTATTAAAAGCAAACGATTTGATTACTTACTATGGCAAGAAATGTTGCATCCACATTGAAACCTTTGGCGGAAAACGTAATTTTGCAATGCAGTGTTTGTAAGGAAAATAACTGCAACTGCAATGTTAATCGCAAAATTGTTAAATGCAGGACTGGAAGACGTAACTCAGCTGAAATAGATTTAATACATCCAGTGTCGCATAGGTCACGACGTGGTAATAATGTCGTTTAAAATGAAATTGTATTGGTATACAACATATGATAATATAAATATACAAATTAAATAGCGTTTTTACTACCTCATATTTTATTTTCTCATCTCTGATGCTGTTAAGTACATGGTGAATCGTACTGCGAATCTCTTGAGCCTGATTCTTGCCGGTCTCGCATGCCCAAACAATTAACATTATTTTCATAACATCATATAATGTGCCTAATAAGATTATCACACTATCTTGTTTATGCAAATTGAACATCAATCTACCATGCCAT